CAGCAGGGAGTCCTCGTGGGTTTCGGGCTTTTTCCCTGTCTTCGTGCTGCCTTCAAGTCATGTTGGCTCCTGGCAGCTGATCCCTGCGCTTTCCTTGCCCAGGTTTCCAGAAGGGGTTTGCCCGGGCGCCTCCTCCCTGGGCTGAGGAGAGGGGCCGGCCCAAGGCCACCCAGCCGGCTTCGTGCCTGAGGTGGGACCGGAACTCGGGGTCTCCCGGTTTTTAGCCCGGAGCCTTTAACCAAACAGACTGCTAGAAGTCAAAAGGAACTTGGTACCACTTTTTCCAACCAACCCATTTTACTGAAGGGCCTCAGCTCTGGAGGGCCACAGGGAGTGGCTGGACTGGTGTAGGATTCAAAGCGGGGCGAGTCGGGGGTGAAGGGAGGGGAAGACGGGTTGGCCCGGCAGCATACACGATGCAACAACACAATGGAGGTTTTAATAATAAGTAATGTACCTTAAGATTGAAACTGTTATTGTGAAACAAATACCTTGATGTATGCTCTTTTCTCATTTTTTCATTTTATTATATATTCATTACACAATATTTAATTCTGAAGAAAAGTTAAATAATTATCATGCTTGGAACATCGTTATTTAAAATTGTAATTAATACTTACAGAATATCCATTTTTTTCTTTTCTTTTTACTTATTTATATGTAATGCTCTAAGGCATTTGCATAATAGAATATGAAGAATTTAAGCATATTATATAAATATCACTGTGTCAGAATAACATACTGTACTAAGATTGAGAAGATGGAGCAATAGATGGTCTATACAACTAAATTAAATAATACATTAAAGGACTGACTATTAACATTTGATGGTTATACTCTTAATTTCTTCAAATGTTACTCACTTATTCATTATCTCATATATCCTTTTCTGATTTTACTAGCACTGTTATAGTTTTGGTTGTACTTTATCATATCTTCTGGTTGTTATACTTACCAATAAATATATACCACCACCACCCCCAAAAAATCCTATGCCTGTCTAGCCACTCTGCATCTGATGAACCAAGCTGCAGATCCGGAAAGATTCAGCCTTTTCATAAAACTGGTTCGTTGGACAAGGTGCTCCCAGACTCCTCCTGATTTGGGGCCACCACAGACCAGCACAACTTCCTCTGACAAAGGTTGTGCGAGGTCTCTTCTCTTCTGAAAGAACTGGCAACAGAATGGCAGAGCTAAAGGGTGAAGGGCATGGACCCAAATTCTTGGGAAACAGCTTGCAGACAGAATGCAAATCTTCACTGAGAAATTGATTAGGTTTTCAAAATGCGAGCTGCATTGTTTTTCTCATTGTTGCTGCTGGAGTTATCTGCATTGTTGCCCATTTTACCACTTCTTGTTCTGTGTATAGTGGTTTTACTTTTAGGCATTATGTGTAGCTTGGCCGAATTTTAAAATTACGAAATGAAAAGGCAGCCTGGGAAAAGAGCAAGCAGCAGGAAGACCCAGTGGCCCCAGGGTTGGGATCGTCCCCTTTGCTCTAGGACCACGGGAGCCAGAGTTCTGCTTTGCTCTTCTGGGGATGGGGGAGAAATGGGTGCCCGGGAGCTCAGTGGACGCCCCTGGAATCCCAAGGCACCTTTTCTCCCCACCAGTTCCTTCCAGCAGGCGGCTCCGGCCAGTTTCTCCCAGTCCTCTTGCACAGCTTTGATTGGTCTTTGCATTTTCTAGCTTGTGACCCAGCGTGGACTCTGGAACCAGGAGGCTGCCATCCAAACAGCTGCTCGCTGAAAAGGTAACTCTGCTAGGGCCTCTCAGAAGAGGTTGGGTAGAATTGCAGGGTAACCCTTAGCATCTCACGGCTGGCCGCAGCGGGTTCCAGGTCATGCTGACCAGCCCTGGCCTGGGGTCATTTCGGCAACTTTGAGAGGTGACTGCTCAGCTGGGAAAGAGGAGGTCCAATGACCAGATGACCACCAGATGATGTTCCCTGGCAGGGTGGGACCTTTGCCTGTGCCTTTACTTTCCGTTGACTGAAACTTGAGTTACATCCTTTGGCCTCAGGACCCAGTCTTCTCCCCCTTGACTAGTCTCCGGGGACTGCTCAGCCACTGGGTGTGAAACAGAAAGGGGGTTGGGCTAGGACAAGGGGGGCTTCCTAGCTGCAACTTCACCGCAGAATGTCTCGCCTTCCTCCCCAGTCAGGCCAAACAAGCCGCTCAGCTCCTGCAGGTCTCCTGTGGCCTCTGCTGGTGGGCTCGCCTCGCACAGATGCTGCTGGGAAAGTGGGCAGCCCTGCTGGCCGTGGTCGTGGTGATGGAGGGCACGGCTGCTTTCCCCTCTCCGTGTAAGTGCCTTGTTTGCAAGCTCTTTCGTGTGGGGGGGGCAGCCCTGCTGGCCGTGGCTGTCGTGATTTAGTGGCAGGGCCAGGAGGAAAACACAGATCTCTTTGGTCCTCTTCGGGTGTCTCTGACCAAAACACACTCTCTAGAGGTCTTCCTCTTAGACGTGAATGAAAAAACCAAATATTACCTACCCCAGAAATGGTGGAAATTTTACTTTCCGACAGAGAAGAGATCATCATCTTTAGACAAAAAGATGCAGGAGAGTTGAGCCGCCTACCCTCAGAGTAAATTTTGCATTTTTGCCAGAATTAAATGAGTGTTGCAGCTCTGATAGGGCCACTAAAGATTGGGCCCATAGGCACAGGAGTCTTGGGGAGGGTTAGAAACGCCCAGCCTCCCCTTGGTGGCACATGAGGTCAGGAGAAAGGCAGAGAGGGCAGAGCCCAGCCCTCCCCACCTTCTCTCTGGTAGCACTGCCACAAGGGGACAGCTGGCAGGGAAGGGGTGGCCAAGCTTGGGGACCCCTCCGGGAAGCACAAAACTGGGGGGAGGCATTTCTGGAAGGACAGGGGCTGCCAAGCCCCTCCTGGATTGCGGCAGCCCTTCTGAGATGCTGCACTGAGCAGACTGAAGTGAGGACAGGGCAGTGCGAACACCTTCTGCACGAGGGGTGCCCCTGGGCCTCGTGATGGCACCAGCAAGCGTGCTCCACTGCAGGAGCAGCAGCAGGGGCCACCCCTATACTTATTTTGCACGACATACTCTGTAGACTTTCATCACAACACCTCCCCACCCAGAAATTTGGGGGAGAGGTGGAGCCTAGAAAAAAAGTCTGGCCAGTCCCGAATGCTCACATCCGAAACAGCCTCAGGGGTTAAAAGCAGACCAGCCACAGGAAGCCGGGGAGGCCCAGCCACCACTGAGTCCCCGTGTTGCCCTCAGTGCTGATTCGGAAGGTGGGTGAAGAGGCAGCCCTGGACTGCACCGGTGCCCCTGGAGAAAAGGTGGAGTGGCAGCATGAGGGCAGGACGCAGCCGGAGTCAGGCCGGCACTTTTCGCTTCACCACCTGGACATCCCTTATGCTGGGAACTACTCCTGCTGGGCGGAATCCCGGCTGCTCCACAGCGTCTACGTGGCCGTGTGGGTTCCGGAGGTCTACCTCATCGATGAGCGAGAAGGTGAGCAGGGGGGTCCCTTTTGGCCAAACAGAGGGGGGCCTCATCCCTGGGGCTGCTCCAGCACCAGGCTTGCAGCTAAAAGCTCCAACATCGCCCCCCACCCCCTTCCCCCACCGCCCCACGGCCGGCCAACTGCAGACGTCCTGGAC